CCGTACGGTGGCGGCCGAGGCAGCTGAGGCAGAGGGGGAGGTGAGCACGCTGGGAGCCATTGCCCGCCTCTTCCCCTGGCACGGCAAGCAGAAGCTGGCTGCCACCAGGCTGTGGGAGCTCTTGAACAGCAACAGCAGCGACAGCAGCAGCAGCAGCAGCAGCAGCAGCGAGCGTACGGCCAAGCAGCGCACGTACGTGCTTCGCCTGTCCCAGCAGCTCATCTGCCACAAGCTTCACCACAGGCCGTTCAGCAGCGGCCTGGTCCACTTCCTGGCCGCGCTGGGTATCAACCCAGAGACGAATCGACTCTGTACGGCGCCTGAGTACTCCCCCATGCTCAGCTCGCTGGTCTACTGCGTACGGGCGCTTGCTGTCGAGACGTTCCTGCCGGCCAGCCAGCGGGAGGCGCAGGGCGCTGCTGAGACCCAGAGCTTCCTGCAGCAGCGGGCCAGCTACCTGGTCGACGGCTCGTACAGCCCCATGAGCATCATGCTGAGCCTGCTGTTGTACGCCAAGTTTATCGCCCTGCGCACGCCTGGCGCCATCGCTGGCAGCATGTGGTGGTCGCTGGACCGGCAGACCTTCTTCATCAAGGGCCGCCCCGTGGAGCTGGAGCGGTTCCGTACGATGGCGCAGGGCGTGGTGGCAGAGGCGGAGCGGTTGCTGTGGGAGGAGCTGCTGTGGGTGGGGAGGAAGGAGGACCGGCCTGCCGTGGAGCTCTCCACCATCCAGGACGATATCACCGTCGTACGGCGAGGCGCCTCCTTCCTGCCGCCATCGCGCCTCCAGCAAGGCAGACAGTGGACGCTGGCCCGGCTAGCGAGCCTTCCAGCAGCACAGAAGCTCTACCACCCGCACGTACAAGCAGCAGCAGGGCAGGGCCAGGAGCAGGGGCAGGAGCAGGAGCAGGAGGGTGGCAGTAGCCCTGGGCCTGTGCGGTGGAGAGAGCGCAGGGTGCGACAGTTCGTACGGCAGATCGAGCGGTTCCTAGAGCTCCTCTGCCTTGCTGTGCACGTCACAGGCGGCCAGCCTGCTCGAGGGCCTGAGCTGCTGTCCGTACGGTGGCGGAACGGGGTGCTGCAGGACCGCAACCTGTACGTGATGGAGGGACAGGTGGTGGTCATCACCCGCTACCACAAGCTCCAGGCCCAGTGGGACCAGCCGAGGGTGGTGGCCCGCTTCCTGCCAGACAGGCTGGGCCAGCTGCTCGCAGCCTACCTGCTGTACGTAAGGCCGCTGCAGACCATGCTCGCCAGCAGCCTGGACAAGCTGGGCCCAGCCTCCTCCCATGACTACGTCTGGGCAGGCAGCAGCGGGCCGTGGGAGACCGATCGACTGACCCGTACGATGACGCTGGAAACAGCAGCCAGGCTGGGCACGCGGCTGACCACGCAGGAGTATCGCCATACGGCAGTGGGTATCGGCCGCGAGGTGGTGGGGGAACGCTTTGCCGCTGGGTACAATAAGCAGCTGGGCAGCAGCAGCGGGGGCGGTGCGTACGACAACCCGGACATGATGGACCACAGCAGAGATGAGGATGGAGAGGATCCGCTGGAGCTGCAGAATGGCCGCTCTACTGCTGTTGGCAACGTGGCGTACGCCGTGCAGGCAGACCTGGTGCAAG